GGCACCTGGTCAGCATGGCATCACCAGCCCCAGCTGCAGCACAAACAGGAGCAAAGCAGGAGCCAAGCCCCAGTAGCTCCCAATGAGTAACAGCACATCAGTGTGGAGCAAACCTCCGTGCAGAACCACCCCTGTGCCCTGCTTGCTTTGGGGGGAGCTGCACCTGGGAGCAGCAGCGCTGACTCTGGCAGCTGGCAGAGCTGCCCCCAGGCTCTCAGTGCAGCAGGGCACCTCCACGTGCCCAGCCAGGCCGGGCTGGTGGCTCAGAACGTGCCGGTGCCCCCAGCAGCAGAGAGGGGAGGGAGGCTGGTGGTCTCCACAGCAACCGACACCGAAATGGGTCTCCATGGCAATAACAGAGCGGTGAGGGAGGAATAAGAGAAACTCAGCCAGAAATTAAGGGGGTCTCAGAGATACAGAAGTGACGTGAGAGAGTCCCTGCAGGGAAAAGGGCGGGCTGGGAGGGGGTAGAGGGCAGGGTGTGGGATCTGTGATCTCTGGGCAGGGGATGCTCGGCCAGCTCTCCAGCTGAGTCTGTCTGGACAGAGCTTTGTCCTGCCGTGCCTGAGGAGAGGAGCAGGGCTGCAGGATGGGATCCTGAGCTCTGCAGGGCTCCCTTGAGAACCAGCCACACCCGTGGGCAAGTTAAAAACCCTCTTTGCATCCTCACCTGGTTGATGACAGGGGTGAGGTCAGGCCCTGAGGCCAGCTCTCCCTTCAGGGCCAGCAGCCGGGCCGTGTCCCCCGCCAGGTCCCCCTGCAGCCCCTGGGCACTGAGGCGGCTCTGCCTGGCCTGGGCCAGCAGCCCCGGGGCTCCCCCAGCCAGGCTGGCCGCGCTGCTGGAGCTGCGGTGGGCAGAGCGGATGGTCTGCAGGGCTCCTGGGGAATGAAGGTGACAAACGGCACAAATGAGTCACGAATCCCCTCGGGAGGCACTGCCCCTGCCCTGCGCTGCATTCCTGCACAGGAGAGGGTGCAGGGTTAGTCACCATGGTATCACAAAAACTCCTTTTGGTTCCAAACACCTTCCAGCCATTCCCTCAGAGAGCTCCTGAAGGACTGGAGTGTAAACTGAACTCAGGGCTGGAGTGTAAACTGAGCTCAGGGCTGAAACTAAACTAAGCTCAGGGCTGAAACTAAACTGAGCTCAGGGCTGAAACTAAGCTGCAGCCAGCCCAGGCACACCTGCTGATGCTGGCCTTTGCCAGGGCAGGACAGATTTCAGAGTCTCTGCCCAGCTCCTGAGCAGCCCCATCATTCCCCTCCAGCATGGGCTGCAAGGAGGGTGGCCAGGACACGAGCTCTGAGCAGACAGAGAGGTGCAGAGTGAGCAGTCCTGGCTCCCTTCCCCAGCCATGGGCCAGGCTGCGTGGGAAGCACCTGGAGAGATGTGTTTGCTGTTCTGAGGCTGACAGCAGGTTAAAATCTCCCTCTCATCCACCAGCCACGGAGGAACCCCAGGCAGTCAGGCTGAGGTAAATTAATGACTGCAAATGAAGAGATGTTGCAGCTGCAGAGCTGTACCTGACAGGTCCGTGCTGAGGCTGCTTTCAAACTGGGTCTTCTTGCTCTGGTACTGGGAGCTGGTGACAAACAGGCTGCTGTTGAGGGCTTCCAGCTCCCTCGACAGAGAGGCAGTGTCATCCAGGAAATGAAGGTCGGGATTTATGCCTCGGAGCTGTTCCCTGGCAGAGAACAGGAACAAAATGGGAATTAGGGAGAGAGAAAAGCAGACAGAGAGCAGGGCTGAGAGGGCCACCTGTGCTGGGGCACTGCCAGCACCTGGCAAAGGGGCACTCCTAGGCCCAGAGACAGCCAAGGACATGCCAGGGCCTCGCAGGTTTGATGAGGGGAGCTGGGCACAGCCCCTCCACAGCAGGGCTGTGCTCATGCAGGGCCCAGGAGTGAGGGATGTGTCCTGAGAGTGCCACCACACCGCCCTGAGAGTGCCACCATGCAGCCCTGAGAGTGCCACCATGCAGGCTGCCCACACTCCTCCTGCCTCGGGGACATTGTGCACAGGACAGGCACAGGTGGAAGTGGGACAGGCACACGTGGGAGTGCTGCTCTGCTGCTTCCCTGCTCCCCTCATGAGCAGAGCCAGGCATGGCAGGGACAGAAACAAAGCAGAACCACGCAAGCATCTCCCAGAGAAACCCCAGCATCTCCCCGTGGATCAGG